ATTGTCTTTATTTTCTTTCCCTTGGTTATCTCTACCAAAGTGTTTAGGCATATCATTCTTTCCCTTAAAGATGGTTTCAAACATGACTTAGTGAAGAAGAAAAGTTCACAGCAATTAAGGTCAGAACAAAACAAGATGACAAGACGAGGCTGCTTGAAGAAAACTACAAAACCCTAGAAAAATTCCTAGAGCTTTGATACCATGTTAAAATATTTTGCAGAAACTCTAAAGTTTGCATGCTTGATAATCAAAATAAGGGGCCTATATATAGGCAACCTAAAACAAACTCGATAGACTCAAATCTAAATAATGTAATCTAATGGATATGACCAAATCTAAATCTAAATCTAACAAATCTAAAACTAAATATCTAAAATATCTAACAACATTATAACTCAACTATTCTTTGACAAAACCCATCCGACCCGTTACAAGTGATAGTTTTGAAGAGATGATGATTGATAAGATGAAGTCGATTGATAAGTCCAATGATGAGTACGTGCCCGAGCCCGGAATTCCGAGGAGAGGCTGGAGGAATGCAAGGGACAAGTTTGTAGATCTTTTAAGGATTTTCGAGAACAGGTTGACTAAGGTGAATTGACCGTTGGGGCCATCATGACAAGCTTGACAAGGTGGAGCAGCGTATCTGCGAGCTTGAGGGAGGCAAGATTTGCAAAAAGTTACCATCTCCGATCAATGTCATGATGGAGGAATCTTGAAATCAAGATCAGGCTATGCAGGAACTTGTCAAGGCATTGAGGGTTGAGGTTGTTGCGCCCAAAAACGCACTGACAATGAATAATCTTGAGTTTGCATAATGCAAGGTCAGCATTGCGAAGTTGGAGAAGACAAAAGTTAAAGAGCCTTCAAATCTCCGAGAGGAATTGGTTGTGCTGAGGAGGCGGTAGCCGAATTGACGAGAGAGTCCAGACTGAGGTTGCGCCTGGAGTCACATGGGGAATGTCCTATGTTCGGAATGCTTTTCTAGGGAGCATAAGGCTAAGGTAGTAGATGTTTCATATATAAGCATAGAGCAATATGCAGGCATTTTTGGAAAGAAAGCTAGGATCGATACTGTTTCTTGGTACGTTACGGACTGGCTCGCACCTGGTGGAAACATAATGATGGGACACATGGTGGTGGAAAGGGAATCACCACATGGAGGACCCTTAAGCGGGAGATTAAAGAGGAGTTTGTGCCAGCTGACGATGAAGAAGAAGCATCGTCCAGAATATGCCGACTAAAACACCGGTATAATCACCTAAAGGAGTATGTTGAAACATTTGTTGACTTGCTGCTGGAGGTGCCAAGCATGTTAGGAAAGGAGACTATGCCTACATTCTTGAATGGTTTAAAGCTGTATGCACAATGGTTAATTGACATGTGCCAAAAAAGAGGGACGGTCTTGAAGATATGCTCTCTGAAAAGCCTGTGGGAGACTAGACCCTTTGGGTTGCTAATATCAAGACTGCCAGTACTCCACTTAAAGCAAAGGCCACAAGGAAGAAGTTGCCAGGGCCAACATATGATGAGTGTTTTATTTGCAAGAATAAAGATTACCATGCGCGCGATTGCCCTATGCAAGGATGTTTGTCAGCCATATATGAACAGGAAAGGCCAGGAGAGAAGCGTGTACAAAGCTGTCCGGAAAAAAGAATGCAGGCTTACTAAAAGGGAGAATGTACGTTGATGCGCGGATGTGCTAATACGATCTATACGCTTAGAGGTAGCTCACAAGATAAGCCTGATGTGGGCGCTAGCACCAGGATGGTTCAAGGGAGTCAATAAAAAATGGACTTTCCTCATTCTGATCCAACTCGGGAAATAAAAAAGTACTACAAGTTTTAAAGTTGCTCATTTGGACAATTACTGTCTTCTTGGGATGCAATTTTTGGATTCCACCCAATTAGCAATAGTGCCACATAGGAATGCAACTGATCATGCAAGGGAACACCTTGTGTATGGTGACTCCACGCCAAAAGAGAGCTCGAACAAGGGAAGGTGGCCCTACACTCACAACAATCACTAGCAAAGGAAATTACCCGACACACAAAGGAGAGTATAGAGGATCCAGTCGGCTAGTGTTTCACTTTACTAAAGGTTCAATGAATCGACCTGTGAGGGCGAGACTTGGATTTTCCACTAAACTTCCTTCCGATGAGATAAGTACCTTGAACAAAAACAAGACTTGGATTTTGACTAAACTTTTTTCCGAAAAAGAGGTGCTTTAGATACAAGGATAAACCAAATGGATCGAAAGGTACAAAGCTTGCTTAGTGGTTAAAGGTTTTTAGCAAGAAAATGGAGTAGACTACTCTGAAATCTTATCTCCAGTGGTAAGGATGACCACTATTAGATTGGTTTTTAGTATTATAGCTCCAAAGGGCTTATATATAGAGAAACTAGATGTTAAGACAACATTTCTACATGATGATCTCGATGTAAATATCTACATGGTACAACCTGGGGGGTTTCAGGTTACTTGCAAGGAGAATTGGGTCTGCAAGCTGAGAAGAGATTAATCGGTTTAAACAAGCCCCTAGGGCTGTGGTGTATGAAGTTCAACAACTTCATGATGAGAACGGGTACAAGAGATGTGAAATAGACCATTGTTGGTATTTGAAGAAGTTTAAGGGTTCATACATCATTCTAATTCTCAATGGGGATAATATATTGATAGTCAGTGCAGATATGGAGAAATCAGTAAGTTAAAGCAACATATGTTTGAGGCATTCAAGATGAAAGACTTAGGTTCAACCAAATAGATACTTGGGAGTATAATCAGAAATAAGGATGGCTCTTTGACACTATCTCAGGAAAAGTATAAAAGGAAAGTGTAAGAGAAGTTCAACATGAATAGTGAGAAGACTAAGCTGTGAAACACACCTTTTGGAAGCCACTTCAAGCTTACCAAAGATCAGTCTCTAAGAACAGACATAAAAGGCACATAGGACTAAAGTTCCTTATGCATTTGGAGTTGGCAGCCTCATGTATGCAATGGTGTGCACGAGACCTTAAATTGCTCATGCAGTTGGGGTTGTTAGTCGCTACATGTCAAATCTAGGGAGACAACACTGGGAAGCTGTCAAGTGGATACTAAGGTATTTGAAGAGTACTTTCAAGATGAAGTTATGTTTCAAACGCAAAGATGCGATTCAGGGTACTTTCAAGATGAAGTTATGTTTCAAACGCAAAGATGCGATTCAGGGTACTCTGATGTTGATTTGGGTGGATGCAAAGAAACGCTTAAGAGCACTACGAGGTACATCTTCACAGTGGGAGGTTGCAATTACCTAGATATCTAAACTTCAGAAAAGTGTGGTGCTATCGACGAAATAACCTGAGTATATGGCAGTTGTTGAAGCTAGCAAAAAAGTTAGTTTGGTTAAAGAACTTCCTCTTAGAGTTGGATAAAAGACAGGAAGATTATTCAATATACTACGACAATAAGATTGTAATTGAACTATTCAAGAATCCAATCTATCATGGGAAAAAATGAAGCATATTAGGATGATATATCACTTTATTAGAGGATTGATCGGTGAAGGAATGATGAAGTTAAAGAACATCTGAAGCGCTATGACTCCAGCAGATATGTTCACAAACTGTGACACTAGACAAACTGAAGTTATGCATGACTTCAACTGGTCTACATGAAACATGATAAGAAGACTGGGGCAATCAAGTGAAGTTGAGGATTTTACAGCAGTACACTGGAGTGCAGATGTTTCAAAGCCTCCAAGTGGAAGATTGTTAAGTGTAGGCTTGTAGTTAACCTAGTAGGCATATTAGAGTTTTGGCCCAATTTTGATTAACCCTAACCTAGTCTATAAATATTATCTTATGTTTGTAAAAGTGTGTGCCTCCTCATATTCAAGTAATAAGAGAGATTATTGGATGTCTCCATGGACGTAGGTCGATAACTATTATCGGTTGAAGCACGTAATCTTTTGTGTTATGTTTTTTTGTTTGTGTGTATGATTTAATCCTAACAGTCTATGCTTATCCATATAAAGCTTATCTGGTCCTGGAGAAGTAAGAGAAGACACGGGATCAACTTCACACTATTGTACATTTCTTGGAGGAAAATTAATATGCTGGAGAAGTAAGAAACAAAAGGTGGTAGCAGGGTCAAGTACTGGAGCAGAGTTGAGAGCTATGGCAGTGGGGGTCTTTGTATTATCATTGGTGAAAATTATCTTAGGCTTGAAAATTCAATGGAGCAAACCAATGAAGTAATATTTTGATATCAAATCAACTATTAAGTTTAGCCCACAACCCAGTGCAACATGATCAAACAAAGCACATAGAGATAGATAGGCATTTCATTAAAGAGAGGCTAGAAAGTGGACTGAATTTGTACTCCATATGTTCCAACAGGACTTCAACTGACAAGGGATTGTGTAACAACATGTTTCATGGTAAGTATTGTCAAGCTAGGAAGGAAGATCTATGTTCACCAGATTGAAGGGTAGTGTAGAAAATCTTGAATGAGTAATTTTAGGAGACAATATCAGTAAGTTAATGGAGGTAATCAAGGTAATAAATGATTTTTAAAGGTCATAAATAGTCTTAATATTAACGGATTTAATGGAGTAGTCTTAGGACAAAATTGAGGGACTTGGTAGAGTGATCTTAGGATTTTCCTTGTTTAGTGTACAACAAATTATATATATATATATATATATATTGATTAGAATGTATTGTAGAAACTAGAATTGAAATATACAATTCCTTGTGTTCTTTATCAACTTCTTAGTACTTTTATGTATTCCCACTGTCCTTATCTAAGCATTGTGGTCTCTCCTATAGAGTATTTGCCTCAAAGCATGTGTGTTCTTCTCCACAAGGTCCACTATTTACTTGTATAGAAAGCCTTACACTAGAGTTGCTATTTAGCATTGTTAACAATTTCCAATAAGCATTTGTGAATATTAAATGTCTTTCTCGTGATGGATCATGTGAGTTAATCTTGAAATGTCACTCTATGAGTGCTGCAGACAAAACTGTGATGAAAAAATGGAAGCTTTCCTGAAAAGAACGTATCATTTCAATGGAGGGTACGATAACAGAGAAGGAATGTTGAAGCTTAGTACCTGTATGGAACAAGTGGAGGTATAATGACATTGTGATCAATAAAGTAAATTTTGTCATTTTCATTCCGCTAGCACATAGTTTCAGATATATTTGACTTTGATAGCTCTGCAGGGAGACACCAAAGCAAACCGAATGTTTTATCTTTCTGTTCCAGAAGAAGCATTGCTTGATGTTGCATCTTCCCTTGCCAATAGTGCTCAAAGCAAGAATGGTTGGAACCGTATTATAATAGAGAAACCATTTGGGTTCGATTTACAATCTTCTAACCAATTGACTTACTCTCTTATGAAGAACTTCAGTGAGAATCAAATATATAGGTATGTTTGGAATTCTTGATTTCCCAATCATAGTATCATTCCTTATTGCTTTCACTCAAATTATTTTTAGGATAGACCATCTTTTGGGGAGGAACACTATCGAAAATCTTGCTGTTCTAAGGTTCTCCAATCTCGTTTTTATGCCGTTATGGAATCGAAATTACATCCGCAACATACAGGTAGTTTCATTTGTGCGGTTTCGATCTTGTTATTGCCTCTTTTTTCCCTTCATCTGCTCCTACTCTGTTTTTCCATATCTTGAATTTGTTCTGTGATATATTCAGGTTGTTGTATCTGAGGATTTGGGCTTGAAAACTGGTGATCGGTAAACAACTGTGACATTTATATAGTCAACCATTGCCTGACCTATAAAAATTCTTCTCAACGCCATTACAATTTCACTTGTAATGTTTTTTAGGTATTTGAATAGCCATGGGATTATAGGTGATGTTGTACACAGCCATATCTTCCAAACTATTGCTTTGCTTGCCATGGAACCTCCTGTGACTCTTGAAGGCGAAGATGTTCGAAATGAAAAGGTATGGGATTTCATGTTTCTAGTTTGTGTTTCCAGACAATTAGCAAGGTTGTTAAGCAGAATTTTTTTTCCTCAGGTCAAGCTTTTGAGATCAATTCGGAAGTTAGAGACTAGTAATGTCATCCTTGGTTATTGCATGCCCGCATCCGGAGCCAAGGGCGGTCCTGAATTGGGCAGAAAAGCACCCACATACTTTGCTACAGCTATGTTCATCGACAATGCTCGGTGGGATGGTGTCCCATTTATGATTAAAGTCGGAAGGGGACTTACAAATCATCGGTGAGCTTCTTCATTGAGCCTACCCTAACTGCGAAATTCATAATTAGTTTCTTTAGCTTTAATTCAACTTTTTTGGCAACTACTCTTGAACTTCACCCAGTGTCTCAACAGTGCCTCCTGTAGTTTTTCCAAGAAATATATTTTCCTTCATTGTTGCTTTGTTTTCCTTCCCATCAAGAATTTAGATTCTGAAAACTGTCTGAGTGTTAGCTATTTTCCCGAACTCCCGAATTCCAGTTCTACCAAAAGAGCTGTTTCCTAATAATGTTAGCTGTCGTGATGCAGAATTGAGATTCGCATACAGTTTCGCCATGTTCCGGGGAACCTCTATGGCGAACACATCAGCCAGAGGTCCGATCTCATCAACAACGAGTTGATACTTCGTGATGTGCCTGAAGAAGCAATACTGGTCAGAGTTAACAACAAAATACCTGGACTAGGCATTCACTTGGATGCTTCTGAGCTCAATTTGCTTTATAAGGATAAGTAAGGTTTTCGATTTCTGCAGTTATTGTATACCAACCTCATACTGCACCTAGAACTTTATTATTCCCTGTTTGCATGTGTCCATTCTTGCCAGGTACAACATAGAGGTGCCCGACTCTTACGAGCAACTTCTCCACGACGTCATAGATGGGGATAATCATTTGTTCATGAGAAGTGACGAGGTAGCAGCTGCATGGAATTTATTGTCTCCAGTTTTAAGGGAGATGGACAGCAACAACTTAGTACCCGAAAAATATGAGCAGGGGAGTAGGGGTCCCGATAAAGCTATCTACCTTTGGGCAAAACACGGCGTCAAATGGATGGATGACTGACTATCAATCAAGCTCCAGAATTTTCACCTTCTCCTGGTAAGTGTTTCTGAATGTCCAAATCTATCTATGTTTCTAAAGAATGGAAGACTGAGCATATACAATTTTAGAAATGAAAAGAGAAACCATTTGGATAACCTCGATGTTTCGAAATTAGCTTCATGCAAAAATGTATGAAACAAGAATTAATACACAGAAAACAGTGGCAGTGCAGCAGTACCTTGTTTGGTGACTTAGCTCCACTGCTGAATTTGGTTTACAACATGATAGACCTTTATGACTGTTAGAGATAGAGATCACTGACAGAAGAAATCGAAGGGAACACGAGGTGTTGAATACGCCGAGGAGAGAATCTTGGAAGCTATAAGTTTGTTAGCTGCTTCGGTGTAATGGACCCCGTCCCAGCTAACAAATCGAGAGTTTTGGTCACAGGCATTGTAGCCGGGAACCCCACATGTCAATCCTCTTATGTAGTTGTATGGTGGCCCTCCAGCACCACAGCATGCCATCAATGGATTTGAGAAACCTAAGGGTGGTCAGTATGACTAAAACTGATGAGATTCCAGACAAATTACTCTGATAGTGTTTAAAACTTTTGAATAACTACGTTCATTGTAATAACTTTTTCGACCATTAGGGAAAAACACGAGTTTCAATGGCTGAGTGGTTTTGAACATATATCCTAATACCATACTTTGACCCAATAACTTAAAACATTAGGACTCCTTTATTCAATTGTGTAAGATTATCATTGTTAGACTATTGTAACATGACGCTTCGGTTAGAGGGTTGATTGAGTCAAATGCTCAGTCACTACATGTATATAAAACAACACAATATAATATATAAACTGCACAATATATATTTCTATATAACACAACACAATATTATGCTATGTTATATAAAAATATATATGTACTGACGGGATTAAATCAGCATTTTACTGATATGACTAGTCAACACTCTAGCTACCGTCCATAACATGGTGACGAAATTTGTGTAGAATGACTTACCGTATGTGCTGGAGTTGGCTATGATATCCATCTTGATGGCATACATATCCACATAAACAATAGTTGCATCCTTCATCTGGGATCTTAATCTAACACATTTCCGGCGCAGGCCCTCGTTGAATAGTTTTGCCGCATCATTGTATTTCCGAATGCATCCAAATGAATCTCGATCCAGTGACAAGGTATCATTTGCCAGAGCTAGTTTTTGGGGTAGGCACCCCAAAGGACCAGTGTTGTGAACCCAAAACTTTCTGCCTCCTTGATCATATATTTGCTACAATTGAAAAAATAAATAAATAAATAAAAAATGAATGAACCATAATGTTTTTCTTATAAATGTTTACACATAATTAATTAGGTTATCTATCTGGCATGGCATATACTATGATCTATGAGTGATGATGACTTTCTAAAAGAGTTGATTGAGGAAACCTGGATGGCACCCTGGATTTCTGCTAAGACTGAAGGTATCTTTTGGGCGAGTTGGGCATAGGAAAAGCCCTTGACAAATGAATCAGCAATGTCATTTTGCCCAATGTCAATCATGTATAGAGCATCCTTGAACCTGTCATAGCTTATCAAACTGCTCACACCTAAATTCACCACAAATAAAATAAATGATTAGTTAGTGAAAAGCAAAACAAGAAACAGATGGGATAATTGGCTTTTGTCGAATAGAAAGGGACAGGTGAACTACCATGACCAACCATCCAAGTCATTGTCGGGCAGTAAATGAATTTATCATAGAGGTAGATGAATCAAGTAAATTATTCCAATTATTTTCTGTCCAATTAATTTGTCCCCAACTACCCAAACCATATTTTAATTGCTCATGGTTTATTATATATATATATTACCTGCAGCAGCAAGCTCAGTGGAGTGATTCTTGAAATACTGAAACTGCATGAGCTGAACGTCCAACACGAAAGGCGTAAACCTGGGCAGCGTTTGAGAACCTGATATAGCAAAGTTTGCCCCATTTGCAAATGTGGAGCCGAAGGGGTCTAGGTACGGTCTTAGAAGCCTCGTATTCAGACTTTGACCTGCACAAGCATAAGTAGTAAATGTGAGGAATTGTAACTCAAATGGTTGAACACTCTTTTTTACCTAATAAAGGATCGAGGTTCAATCGCGTGGGAGTGGGCAGAGCAACCCCAATATAAATTTCCTATGATCCCGGAATAGTTAATTGCTTACAGACAATTGTGAATAGATTATAGTTGAAGTAGTTGATTTATAAATTTTATATTCCGGTTAGTTGGGGTTCAATAGTAATGTACCTGAAAAAAATAAACTAAGTCTGACAAGACAATTTACACCAGATTTTTTGTCACAAGTTCATTACGGACCACTCAGGTCATACTTTACTACCGAATAAACAATACATACTTTATAATGTTTTCTTTGATTTTTTTTATTTTTTATTTGTATACTATGCAATCTTAAGCTTCTTTATAAAAATTAAAAAAAAAATAAAAAAATTCTACTTTCTCTAATAAAATATAAAAAGAAATTACTATTTGAACACAAAATACAAATATAAACACAAATTAAACACTTTTAGTTTTTTTTTTTTTTTATAGCATAAGAATCCACAATTTTACTCGTCGAGTGCTCTCAGGGTAAATCTCCGATTAAATTTAATAGTTTACAAATTAGGCCTGACAAGGCCAGTCACATTAGCAAACCACTAACCGCTGCTTGTAGCTTACTTTTTGTTGCACATTTACTTGCAGTATCATGCAGTTAATTGATACTGAATTGGGGCCATTTTTTATTTCAGTGATTTTTTAAAACTTGATAATTTATAAACTTAATTAATATTATCTATAAGTAAAAAAATAATATGCAAATTGTATAATTTTTAGGTAAAATTGTTCATTAACTCCCACGTGATTTCAAAATTTAGTATAAAATCTCTCTATACTTTAAAAATTGCATAACACTCCCTTATATTTTGAAAAACGTTGTAAGAAATCCCACCTCCATAAAATTTGAGAAAATAATTTCCTATTTATATATTTTACATACACTGAGTTTCGAAACGACATATACAATATTTTTTAAAATATAAGAGGATGCCACACAATTTTTAGAGTAATACATGTGAAATTGTATATAAAAATTTATATTTTTATAAAAAACCATCGTATTGTTGAATAAGTAAACAAATTGAAAAAATATTAAAAACAAAATAAAATTGAAGCTTTCCAAAAAGATACTCCCTCCGTCCCAGTCCAAATGGGCCATTCGATGTTTTGTAATAGATTAAAAAATAATTATTATTTAATGAAAGTGTGTAAGAGATTTTGATATTTTTGCTTTGACTTTATAAATAATTGTATGTGTAACGGTATGTTTGTAATTTAGGTAAAAGTTAAGGGTATTTTGGTAATAGTAAATGATTACTTTTACTAAAATAAAAATGTATACTTTGGAGTTGAATGAACGAAATTGATAAAAATGGTATCATGTCAATTTGCATAAATAAATAGTACTCCCTCTTTTTCACTTTAGTTGTTCCTGACAATTAGACAAAAATATAACTAGTAAATAATTAGAAAATGTATTAATGAAAATAATTATTATATAATAAGAATAATTATAGATTAAATTTAAGATAAGTAATTAATTTAATTAAAAAAATTATAGATTATAAAATTTAAATTGCAAAAGTATATACTTATTTTTCAAAAAAAATGAACAAATTATGTAATACAAACAAAAAAAAATGTGGGCAAATTATGTTGGATTGAGGGAGTAATATATAATTTAACATGCATAATATGTATGTATTTTTTATTATAGACTGTTTGTTTGGAAATCTTTTACTACTCATTACAAAAATTATATATTATAAAATTTAAAATGTAATTAAAATATATAATTATTTTTTTAAAAGAAAAAAACAAATTATATAGTACCGAAAAAAAAAATATGGACACAAATTACGTTGGATTGAGAGAGTAGTATAAAAAGAACTAAAGTTATAACTGAAAGAAGTGAAAACCAAAATAAAAATTATAATTGAAAAAAGAAAAAAAGTAATAAATAAAAGGAATTAAAATCGATACCAGACTAGCTGCCGTGTCTAAACCATTAAAATAGCAGATATCAAAATAAAAATAAAAAATAAAAAATAAAAAGAAAAAGCGAAAAACTGATAACCGGCAATTCAGATTGTAACCTATAATTTTGAAGTTAATTCATAAAGTGAAAATACGTAAAATCATAAACTAAACTGTGACTTAAAATATTTAATTTTAATTCGATATTTTATTAAATCTACATGGAACATTTCAATCCCTAATTAAGCAACATTTTAAACTATTTAAGCAGGTGTAAGTACGTTCAAGACGACGCAGCACATGCTAAGAAATAGATGCTTCAGATCGGAAAGCACGCTGAAATTTTTAATTCAATATAATCACATTCTCAATTGACTAAATTGTCTAATTAATTAAAAAAAAAAAATTAAGATTAAGATTAAAGATTGTGATTAAATTCTGCTGGGCTGAATTAATATACAATCATCAAATGTGTAGATGTATATTGCAGAATGGTCCCGGGAATCTAGGCAAGTAACTAGGCAGCCCCCACATTCTCTAATTTCCGTGGAAGGATTCCTGACTCACGACACATGCTTCTCACTTACTACGCCACTCCCTAATTTAAAAATTAAAATAAAAAAAAATAAATAAATAAAAGGACCGACACCGCCACCTCTTCTTATCTTCCGTTTTGAAAGTTTCGGTGTTCTATTAAAAAAAATAAAAATACTTCCCCCTTCAAGATATCCATTTGAATTTTTATAATAAAGTAAAAATAATAGTGTATTAAAATTAGAAGTGTATAAAATAATTTTGATATTTTTATTTTTTTACTCTATATATAACTTAACTATATGAGTACTAATATATTTATAAATTATGTAAAAATTTGGATTATTTTGGTTCTTTTACTATCATAAATTTTGATATTTTAAAATGAAACAAAAAATACTTTCAAATAGACAAAAAGAGAATAATGTTATGTAATTATTTTTTAAATAATTTGTTAGTAACAAATAGTATTAAAAAATTTCAAATATCATAATCTTGCTTTCAAGCTTTGTTCCCTCCAATTTTCATATATAAATATAGGCGATTATGTCCTAACTAAATATAATCAATACCACAATGGTAGTACGATATAAATATACAATGCACATATAAAATAGAAGTGGTAACTCATACACTAATACTTTACAAATATGTGATATCTGATATGTTTTCATATGCAATCTATAGTATTTTTACATGATAATTGAGGCAATTAACGTAGTATTAGGGTGTGTTTGTTTGGGGGTAACAAATTTTGAATTTGAATAGTTGTATGATGTGATATAAATAGGTGTTGATGTGATATTTTAAATGTAAAATTGATTTTTAGTATAATATAAAAAATAAAAAATAAGTGATTGATTTGATGTTTTTGGGGAAAAAAATTGAATGAATAGTGAAAAGAAAGTTCAATCCCTCGAACAAACACACCCTTAATAAATTTTCAATCAATGCCCTAATCCAAACAATAGATATATTTTGGCTCTCCTATTTCATAACTACAAACTACAATGCTTCTTCCTATGATAATAAATGTAAATAACACAATAATTAATTTAAGGTGTGTTCACACTAACAATTTTTTACTATACATTCTTTGCATAATATATATAATATACTTTATCCGTCCGTAAAAATTAGCTCTGGAGTTTGGCAGAGATTAAAAAGATAAATATTTTATTGAAAAAGTAAAAAATATCAAATGATAGTTTTAAATATTTTTGGATTTAGTTAATAATTAAAAAGAATAAAGGAAAGAATATGATAAAATTAGTAATATTTGTTGGAGACAAGTGTTGAATAAAAGGTAATAATTAAATATTAACTTTTTAGTTTTTCCTAATATATTAATGAAGTAAATTTAACGGACAGACAAAAAAAAAAAGAGAATAAATTTGATGAACTGAATGAGTAATACATACTCTATTATCCGAAAAAAATTAACAATTTAACACAAAATTTTATTTTTTATATTATCGATATAATTTTTCATATTTTACATAAATATATATATATATTTAAAACTAAAACATTAAACAAATATTTCCTCGATGCTTTAATGAACTATCAATTTTTTCATTTCGGTCTATCCCTATATTATCTGCCTAATATTACAAGTATCCTTCCAATTTATAATATATTATACAAATATCATTATATTTATATCATACAATAAGGTTAGTTTAGTCTCTTTTTTTTTTCTTTCTTTTATTTATGCTCTATTCCAAGGATAGATAGATATGGGCCGGAGGGAGTACAACCTTAGAATTTATTTCATATACAAGAACTGATGTTGAACAGCCAGCTAATGCCTACTATCCTAATTTTTAAGCTGAGTTAGATTTAATTTGTAGTGTGAATTTTAATCATTAGAGGAGTTCATCTTCTACCTGAGTCAATCAATGGAGGGGGAGCTTTTAGGGTTGGTGAAAGTGAAACAATAGAACAAAAACCATTGTTGTCGCTTGATATTCCTTTCTCACACTAAGATCTCTCACTTGTCTATTCATCTAATCATCAGTCAACAAGAATTTCTACGTTATGAACACAGTGTCGCGATCTGTACTATGCTTATGCTGATTGCCTGTTCATTATCACAGCACCAATATTGCATTTGCATAGTGTCCTCTGACTAGATTTAGAGGTCTACTGGCGAACTGAATAATCAATCGATTTGCCTAAAAAAACCAGATCAGATAAGAGCTTCTACTTCTGCGTTAATTTCATCAATAGTTTCAGCCTAATTAGGCTTCTAAGTTATAAACGTATAACACAAAAAGTGAATTAGACAGACTCTCATGGCAAACTCTCAAAAAGCAAAAGCTGATTCGTTTTGGAACCACACCAGAGTGCGCACCAACTGCACACAATATACTTGTTACTACTTTTTCCATTTAAAACGATAAATCATAAAGCGAATTCAAATCATAGATTGAGCAAATAAATGCAACGGGAATAAGCACGCACAATTCGGAATTCACTTCTAGACAACTAAAAACCAACAAAATATCAACAAATTGAGCAAAAATGACCTTACACAAAAAATCGATGACGAGGCGTCCGTCGCAGAACCTTCCCGCAGGTCGACCGAAAAACGAACGGCCGAACGGCAACTTGAACGGGAAACCGAGTCCAGAGGCGCTTCCGCCGGTGTCGGAATTGGAATCTCCGAAGTTAAATATGATCGGAGGTTTTTTGCAGCGCGCCTGAGCCAAATTCGGTGTGGAGATGAGAATGGCAAAGAGCAAAAGCATAAAGAAGAAGGAAAAGGCGGGGCGGAAGGGGAAGGGGGCAGACGAAGAAAGTGGGGAAGGAAACATGGCAGCAAGCAAGTGCAGTAACTGAATCCAGCACTAACTCTGCTTTCCGAAGACGCCATTAAATAACAATAATTACTACTGTTAATTAGTAAATGCATCAATGTTTGTTTTATTATTAGCTTAATTATTTTTAATATTACTAAACTAAATACAAATTATAAAAATCATACTTCGTAGTACATATATATTTATTTTGTATTATTGAATTAAAAGTAAACATTTAAAAAAATATGCCTTTTCTTTTTTTACAATTATTCATAATTTATCATCACATAATTATTTTTACATACATCATTTTTAACTGACAATTACAATTAAAATACTATTATTTTTTAAATTTTACGTCGATAATAAACGCATACTTTAAATTGGACTGAAGTAATATTAAAAATTTGCAAAACTAAGGCTATTCCATTGGCGAATTAGATTCTCTCTCGTATGTGTGACAAAAAAGAATTAAATTATATTTTACAGTTGGAATATGATGTTGGTCTACAACATTAAGTATCATATTGATTATCTTGGATTACAAAAATTAATTTAAAGATTTGTATAAACTTAAGAATATAAAAATAATCTTTATTGCTCAAGTTTTATTTTGAGTAAAATGTGTATTTCTCTGTGATTGTTTGACTAGTATTTAAATTATTGTCATACTATTAAGGTTATAAGTATTTACCAAGAAAGAATTGCTACTTGAGAATGAATATTGACGTGGAAACCAATTGAAACTTATGGTGATCCTTTTGTATTTTGATTGTTAAATTTTAACGATGCAATGTTGTTATTCTTATTGTGGTGTAAGATGATTCTGAAAGAAAATTGACTTATTGTTGTTATTGGAACTATTAATATAAAGTATACTTATCAATCACAGATAGCGGTATGTGGTAATCAATCTTTAAAATGTTATAGCAGGTATCAGTATGACTACTATTTAAATATGTAAGAATATATATAAAAATTATTGTGTATAAAAAAATTGCAACAAAATTATAGAAAGAAAATTTATAAATTAATTTCATAATGATCATTTAAAATAATAAAATGTCAAAAAAAAATATATGATCGTAATTGTTAGATAGTTATATAAGCAAAAATAATTAGATAACTATTATTTTATAGATAAATATTAAATCTGATTAAATTTAATATCCGATAGAAAAAGTTTCATCATCAATTTCACCATCATCATTGCCACTTTTGTCTAGATATTCTTCTTCTTATTTCTCCAATCTCATCCATTTTTTCTATTGTAGTTTTCTTTCTCATTGATGTTTTACATCCAAGTGTAGAAAGCAGACTTGTTACGTTTAGTAGAATCAACAACTCCCCAAATCAAATTATTATTGTAAAAGACTAACTCATCCTTGCCAAGTTGTCTATTTTCATCAACTTCTCCAATTAACTACTTATTGAAATCATTAATATCGTTCAAAACAATAAAATAAATTATATTATTGGTACCATAACGATCTAACAAATTTTAGTTATACTTAACATAAACTAAATCTTACAACTTCTAGCTCTCTAATTTATTTCTTTTCTTGGAATGTATCTAACAATTAATTACGATAAATGGTAATTTATTTTTATCTATATTATAATAATAATAATAATAAACAAAAGTGCATTTTATAATTGAAGTTAGATTTGCAATTACTTGTCAGTTTAAAAATACTCCAATTACTCTCACAACCCAATGGGCTACAAGTCAAGCTAAATACCTTTATGGCCAATTTTTTCAAATTTGAAAAATGACTTCCATAATTCCTCCCTCACTTATTTTTCATTCAGTTAAACAATAAATTGAATAAAGAAATTATTTATAAACTTTATAGGAAAAAAAAATAGACTTATGATTTAAACTGTAAACTAGTAGGAGCCAACGTATGTCTTTTCCTTATAGCTGCATTTAAAGAAAAAATTACAATACCACTTTTATAAATTGTCAGTTGTTTTGTAATTTTATCGACCTATTTTTCTGAAGTATTCAATCTCTCGATACACTTGTATAGTTCGTTCTCAATACTTAGATTGGAATAATAAAATGTGGATTTAAAAAATGCCCTTGCATGTAGTGGGTAATGAAACTGACATTTCCATATTTTATCAATGATCTCAAATACATTCTTATACTTCTTTTTTTAAAAAAAAATTAAACATCTTTCAATAGCTTCTTTAGCTCTATCAATTGCTTTATATATATATATACACATGTATATCCATAGCATGCTTTTTTCATTGTCCACAATCTTAACACATGCACAAGAGGATTCATTACTTTAAGAGTATGCAAAACATCATTCCAAGATATATGCATTAATACAATATCATATGTCTTTTGGACCTTAGTTTCTTCAGTTGCCTTCGATTCCAACCATTCGTCAAAAGTGAACATCTTTCTAAAATTAACTTCTTGTTATGCAATTTTTGTAAAGTCAGAAATGCAATAGCAAATCAGGTGACTTCATGGCTAACCAATTACATCTTATTTGTAAACTTTCTCATCAAATTCAAAGTAATATAGTAGTTGTATATGAATTTCACAAGAAAATAACTTTTTTGTATAGTCCTTTTTGACTCGTGGAATCTTCCCAATGTTATCTAACATTAAATCAAATAATGAGTTGCACATGATGTTCAATAAATATGAGTTCTATTTGCTTGCAAATATTTACCTAATCATGAGTCAATAATTTATCTAAGAATTAAGAATATAAAATTAAATAATCATTAAAATATACTTAAGAACTTAAAGTTTAAGAGTCATACCGGTCAATGCGTATTTACATCCATTGTCCATTATTACTTGAACAATATTTTCCTCTTCGATTTCATCTACAAAGGAGTCTAATAACTCAAATAATTTTTCTCTTGTTTTCAAAAATGAAGAACATCAACACTTTTATAAACATTGCTCCACGTTGACAATTTATCAAAAAATTTATCAATGTTCCATTCTTTCTATATGTCCATCTATTAGACATAATAGAACATTCAAAGGTTAAGAGCAGTAGCAATGGCCTTAATTTGGAAGACTTGGATGGGCCGCTCGACGTGGGCCTGTCAGAAAATCGAGATTTATCCAACACAATGACCGTGTTTTCGACCTTATGATCTTGATGTCGCGTCACGGTGACCTTGGTGCAGGCAAAGGCCCGTCGAGGAGGAGTCTCTCAATTTTCATCCCTCTTTCTCTTCTTCTCTGTGCATCTTTCTCTTCTTCCCTGTGCAACACTTTTTCTTGTTCTACTCTCCCGAATTCTGCTTCTCTTCCCTCATTTTCATAGATGCGAAAATCACTCTTTTTTCCACTTTTTAGAAAATAATCGTCAAATCGGTTCGGGATAGCGGAACAGATCTCCACCATTGAAAAGTTTATTCCAAGAGGGTTCAACACAGATAAGAAATTGGGAATAAATTGCGTTACTATAGTTCTCATAGTATTTTCATCGTGTGGTGCAGACGGTTTTAATTTAAGATGAGGAAATTGAGAAGAAACTTGCCTTCTTGATTTGGGACTGTGTCGATTTCTTTAATAGAAAAATGAGATTGTCGAATAGAATGGAGGAATCACCTACCGAAGAGGCGGAAATACCAAGTCACTCACCGGAAATTCAGACGCGTGGTCGATCCAAGGTCGCCGACGATGTGCGAGGTGGCCTAGAACCTGCAGTAGAAATTTTTGAGTGGAGGAAGGTGGAATTAAATTAAATTTTATTAATTAAAATAAGTCTTACTTGATGGGCCTATGAAAAGACCATTGTGGGTTCATCTCACTTCCATCCATCCAGTGGGCTTGCAAACTCACCATCACCCTTGACACGTAAGTCTGTTGAAGCCAAAATTGGAGAAGGCCATTGCTACTGCTCTAAGCGCTCTGTTTTAAGAGGTTTCATCATTTTATTTATTAATTCTAATTCATTTTTCAACAAATGAATTCTCAATTCATGATAACTCAAAAGTTTTAGATGTTGGTCATAATTTCCTATCACATGGACCATCAGTTTACAATTTTTGGATGTTGCAACATTAAATAGAATGACATTTTTGTAGAGGAATCGAAAATGTACTAATTTTTCATTGTCTTCACTTCATTATCACAAGCATCATTTATATTTCTCTATCATTGAGTTTTTTCCAAAATCGCTTATGCTCATGAATTTTAATGAATAATAAATCCAATGAACCTTTTGCATTGGGCTTTTTTTTTTTTTTTTTTTCTCTCCACTAAGTTCATTTGCCAGTCTTTTCAAACCGAAAAAGGTGTATTTATTGAACAGTTTCTAAATGATCTTCGTCTTCCCTCAACTCATCGAGAATATCCTAATCAACAATTACCTTTTTTTTTTTCTTGTCGGTATGCTAAAATGAGTTTTTTCTTGATCTCTAATGGAATTTTTTACATGCCCCCACATCTTTCTTTATTCCCATTTGATGTCTCTTTGCTCTTGTAATTCCTCCGATTGTAATTTTTGAGCAAAAATCACATTTCAGAAGATAAGAAAGATGAAAAGGTTTGATAATCACTTGTCTAAGAAATAAGAAAGAGATTGGAGAAATAAATTCAAAATGAGTTAGCTGTTGAAATAAGTGATTTATGGCAGAATATCAAAAGACTTAAAATTCAATGGTAGAAAAAATATTCTATTTTAGTCGGAATATAACATAATTGTAAGAAATATACATTTACCAAATAATAAATATAATAAAAATATGTACTTTTTATAATAAATATTATTCAAGCTGCTATGCCACACCGCACCGCTATAGGCTGCTATGCCGCTATTACGTAAACGCAGAATTGCAGAGTGACCGTAGCAGCGAAGTGCTGATCTACGTTGCTATAACATAATATTGACAACTATGATATGAAATGGAAACTTTGATTAGCGTAGAAGAAAGGGGTTTCTTACATCAATGAGAATTTGTCATTGGTGTCAAAGTGGATGTTCTTTACTTCTCTTAAGTGGTCCGTGTAATATATTGTTCAAAAAATGTACAATAGTAAAAGATAAAAAAA